CCCCCCCAACCTGCTGTCATCTAGTTGGGCAGGAGTAATGGCTATTAGCCCGGTGCCGCCTATGCCCTCTCGCAATGCGCCTCTTGTCCGACTTTGCTGTCATCACCGGCACACTCGCCTCGGCCGCCCAGAACTCTTCAACACCTTATCTCCTTCTTCGCGAGTAGTATATAGGAGGAAGTCATGTCGTGTTGACCGCGTTACCAGTACTTTGCAAGACCTATGTGCTGTTTTCTTGATGGCGACCTTGATGTATAAGGGCCAGGTGACAGAACAACATGGCAGTTACCAGATCGCGACTTGGAAGCACCTTTAGGAGGACAGATATATATTCTTCATTTCCAGAAATGCAACCTTTTGCTAAACCTTCCATCAAGCTCGCATCCAAAGTACCCTCGTGCCATCCAACACTCCCCCTGTTTAGACACACGCTTCTGCTCGACCACTGCTATCTTGTCCGTTATATAACCCAGCAAATCCGTACATTTACAAATCCCACGTCCTCCTTCTTCGCACCCACCTCCTACTCAGCACGCACCTTCTCATAGGTCAACCACTACTCTTCTTTGTTCTTCTTGTCAACATGCTTCCTGCTGGGGGTCTCCAGCGGCGAAGACGACGGCTGCTGAGGCCTCTTCTCGCCTGCCTTCGGGGACGGGGTGTTGGGGGGTGCCATGCTGCCGCTGCCGCCGCCGCCCGTCCCCCCGGTGGCGGGCTGCGTTTGTCCCTGAGGAGGAGGCGCCATGGGGAACTGGGTCGCGGGCACCGCCTCTCCCTGAGAGGCGCCGCCGCTGCTGCCGCGCGCGGGCGGCGGCGTCTCGGGTATCATCTCGGGTGTCGCGGGGACCAAGATGTTGCCACCGCCGCCGCCGCCGCCGCCTGCGCCCGCAGAAGCGGGTCGTATAGCGTACTGGGTGGCGCGTACGGGCGTCGCTGGGACAGCGGGAGGTGACGAAGAGCCCTGGTTAGCGGGCCCCCGCTCAGGGCTCGCTGCAACCTCGACGGCTCCGTCCACGGGCGGTACCGCGGTGGCAGGTTGTGGAGAGCCTTGGGAAGGCGACGAAGAGCCCTGTGAAGCTGGCGGAGGGCGCTGATAAGATGTTGGAGGTTCCTGGGAAGACGGTGGAAGGCTCTGAGAAGGCGACGAAGAGCTCTGGGAAGCGGGCGCCTGATACTGTGTACCGGGTATCAGCTCGGGGCTCCCGGGGGCGGATCCGCTGCTGCCTGGGCTGGCCGGCCCTGGGTCCTGGCTGACGGGCACCGTTTCGTGGCGCGGGTTTTTGAGCTGCGTGATTTTGATGTCGGCAGACCAGACGGCCCGCGTGCCGGGCTGGATTGCTTCCAGCTCGGAGAATGGTGTGCCATCTTTGAAGAGCTCCTCGCATCCGTAGAGCTGGCCGGCGGCCGAACACGGCTTGACAATATTCTTTCCAAAAATGGCCACCAGGAACGGCCGCCTCTCGCCCTTGTCGAGTTGTATCTTTTTGGGGCTCTCATACCTCGGCCCGTGCCCCTCCCACCTCCGGTCCGCGTTCTGCCTTTCTGCGTCCAAGCGGAGGGCGTTGAATTCGGCGCATTTGCCGTCGAGCCTGTGCCTAGATTTAGCATCATTCTTCCAACGATGGGCTGTCCACGCGCCGACCGAGTTCGGTATCTGGGACCCAAGGGATGCGATTTGGCCCGCAGCCCAGGTGTAAAATTCACTACTCTCTTTCGTTGAAAGCCCTGATGGCGCTCTGAACTGGGTTGAGGATGCGAAAACGATCTTTCTGTCTCCAACCTCCAAGGCGACCAGGGTGCGGGATGGGTACTCGGGCTTTAGACGGGACCCGACCATGTTTTCCCTGTTGGCGAAGATTGTCGACATTTCTCCGTAGGCCCGGTAAGCGAGTTCAACCATGTTTTCCCGGGTTATGTCCTTGCTGACTTGGATAATTGCCGAGTATGAACCCTGGAGATAGACCCCCTTGGGCGGGGTTCCCCAGTGACCCATAAGCTGGGCCAGGTCATAATCAACGCCGAGGGATGGTGCTTGACCTCCTGCTCCGCCCCCTGGTCCCGGGGGCTGCGTTGTGGTTGATGGTCCTGCGTTGGGATTTCCTTGGTGTATAGGCAAGTTCTCTTGGCCGCCCGCTGGAGGAGGCTTTGGAACAGGTAAGCCAGCCACTAAAAGTGGCTGAAGGAGGAGGATGTTGACGAGGAGGGAAAGGTTCATGATGGGGAGATGTAGTGTGGCGGTACGAGACTGTTGTAAAATAAACCGCCTCGGTGTAAGCGGCAGTGGCAGATATGAGGGAGGGTGAGGTCGTCGAAGTGGAAACTTGGAGCAGGTATATGATAACTGGGAGAAGTTTGACGGATAGTGACACAGAGAAACAATGATGAAAATGCTGGCTATGCTGTAGATATGGTTGATCCCTGATGAAGAGATGGTTGTGGGTGTGAAGCTGGTGATGTGCTGGATATCTCTCATGGCTCACCTGTCGCATTTATCTACAAGCTCGGTAAGAAGGGTATCTAGGTACCATGTTGGCATCTGGATGAAACGTTATCATGTGCAGTAAGCCGACACATTTTTTTCATGCTAGCTTAGACTTGATCAGATAGTGTTGGTTGTTTTTCCCATGGATAGCTGACAACCTAACAAGGGCAAGCCACGGGGTTGTATTACTGTTGTGTAGCTAATTGTAGTTACAAAACAGCAGAGACAAGTGCTGTTGGTCCGGTTCGAGCCGCCTTGGGCTTGCGTCGAATCTATTTTGGCATCACCAGCACGGGAGTTGCCGTGTCAGGCTCCCTGTCGGGCTCCCTGTCTGCAGGCAGGCGGTTGGTTGTTGGCTCCATTGCCCATGTGAAGACGACGGAAGCAGAAATTGACAGCCAACGGCCCGAACTTGAGCGGGGGCCATCCATATCTGATTGGCCATCAAGTGACGTTGATGGCTGTGCATACCCACAGCAGGCGCCTCTTGCCGCCCAACAGCCCGTTGTCTTCTCGAAACAAGTCGAGCACATCAGCTCACCACCGGGCAGCCCTCCCATGCCTTGTCCCCTCATCGCCACGGGAAGGCTCTTCAACTCACGATGCAAGACGATTATGAGCGCGAGGCTCGCGCGCAACAACAGTACATCGACCGCATCCGCCGCGCTCAGGGCCCGCCCTTCTACAATGAGGACGCCTTCCCCGCCCACGACCTCTACCTGGCCGCCGAGCACGGCCGAGCGGACGCGCTGGCGGCGGCCCTGATCCGCGACCCCAGCATCGACCTGAACGCCACCCATGTCGGGGGTACTGCGGGGTTCGCTCACGAAACGCCTCTGCATGCGGCCGCGCGGAGGGGCCGCACCGAAGTCGCGTCCCTGCTCATCGCCCTCGGGGCCGACGTCGACGCCGACTCGGCCTCGGGGAGCGGCGTCTACTCGCCGCTGCACGGGGCCGTGCGGAGGGACTACAGCACAAGGTCCCCCCGCCCCATCAACCCGGACATGGTGCGCCTGCTGCTCGACTCGGGCGCCGACCCCAACCGGAGGTACTTCGAGCAGACGTACCTATGTAGAACGGAAATGGACGACGGCCCTGCTTGCAACCTCGTGATGATGAGGGACGACATGATACGTCCCGCCGTGCTTCGGACGAACCTGCATGTTATCGACCTGCTCATCAGCTACGGCCTTGACATCGACATGATGCCCATCTGGTATGAGGACTACCCCCGGAGTTTTGTAGGTTTCCGACCTCCTGTACCGCCGCCACGCCGGCCAAGCCCTGGCTGACAAGAAACTGCAGGCGTATCGGGCCCTGCAATATGGGGGCCTCGACATGCTTAACTGGGCAATCAGCAGAGGTGCCGCCGTGTCCGACACCGACTTCGACGCCTGCGGCGACGACTTTGCCCGGGAGCACCCGGAGCTTGACGAGACCCGGGCAATCACGGAGCCCGACGAGAGCCGGGAAATCACGGAGCCCAACGAGAGCCAGGAAATCACGGAGCCCGACGAGAGCCGCCGTCACCAAATCCAAGATTATTTCATCGAGCGGGGCTTCCGGGACTCGGGACTCAGGATACTCCCATACTTTACGTACGGGCCCGGGATCCGGTCCAGGGAGGACTTTTTCAGGCTCGTTGGCCTGCTCCTCGCCAACCTGCCCGAGCCCGCCTTTGAGAAGATGCCCCAGGTCCTTGCCGAGGCCGTCAGGAGGAGCGACCTGCCCCTCGTCGAGTTTTGGCTGGATTGGGGGGTCGACGTCAACGCGTGGCGTGGTAAAAAATGCACGTGGAGTGACGGAAGCCGCAGATGTGATAGTGTAAATTGCCCGTGGGTCAAGGGCAGCTCCACGCTCCTGCTCCTGGCCATGTCGTCATGCCGAGATGGGTGTGAGGCTTCGAATATAGACATCGTCAAGCTGCTTCTCGAGCGCGGCGCAGAAGCAAACGCTACCTATGGGCGCGCCGGCGGGAACGCTTGTAGGACTCGGCAGCCCAAATCTCATTCCCCCCCCCCAAAGCTGCGAACTCTGACGTTTTCATCACGACCATTGTCTAGTGCATTTGGCCGTGTCCAACTTTTTCCCGAACCACCTCCACATGCTGCCCATTCTCCTCGCCGGCGGCGTTGACCCGGACGCAAAAAACGCCATCGGAGACACGCCGCTTCTTGCTGCGGTCAAACGTGCCGTAGATGAGCCGCCGGGCAGTCCCGCCGGGAGCCCCGAAGAGCGCGGATCCCTGGTCGAGTTCATACACGTCCTGGCCAAGCACGTCAAAAACATCAACGCGACCGACGCGCAGGGAAGGACGCCGCTGCACCTGCTGGCCCGCAGGAGCGAGGACCTGGCCCGGCTCCAGCGGATTGCCATCATTTTGCTCCAGCAAGGCATCCGCGCCGACATCCGTGACAGCCTCGGCTTCACGGCCGGAGACCTGTTTCAGAAAGAATTCGGCGTCGAGGTGGGGCTATATAGGGCGCTGTCTGGGCAGTTTTGAAGGTAGGGTCTCTTTTTCTCACTTCCTGCCTTGATGAAAGCATATATATAGCGTGCGTGATACTCGTGATAGCTTACGGACTTCAAACTCACAGCACCACATGGACAACATTGGATTATCCGCATCGGCCGTCTCACAAATCACACAGCCGCAGCCGCCCTCTTCTCGTCGCCCATCCCCACCGCGGCAGGCGCATACCCCTCCCCCTCCTCCTCGCCCCTGACCACCTCCTCGAGCCGCCGCCTGCTGCAGCGCGCGAGGTAGCGCCGCTTGCACCCGCCGTCCTCGCCGATCCACGTCTCCTCGGGGCACGACCTGCCCCACGTCTCCACCAGCAGCACCCACGCCACCATGCCCGTCGTGGCGGCCACCAGGCCCAGGCTCGTGAGCGAGTCCTCCGGCACGGCGGCCAGCGCGGCGATGGCGGCCGCCACGAGGGCGCGGTTGGCCAGCCGCAGGCGCTTGGGCACGCGCCGGGTGGGCGGCAGCTTGTGCTCGTGGCAGTACGAGATGAGGCCCATGAGGACGAGGGACAGGGACAGCCCGACGCAGTAGAAGAGGCGGATGCCGAGCGGGACGTGGGCCTCGGAGCGGTGGGCGTAGGTGGACGTCAGGTCCTTGGGCGACGCGTCGGCCACGTCGGAGGCGACGACGAGCTTGGACAGGCCAGCGGTGGCGACCGTGTAGCTCATGATGAAGGGGAGGTGGGCCATGAGCCAGATGATGTCTGTTTGGTGTTAGCGTGGCAAAAGGGGGCAAGGCACCTCTGGATGGAAAGGCCAAGGGAGACCTGGACTGACAGTGCTTGCTCGAGCGGCGGATGGCGTGGACGTGGATGTTGCTGGCGTCGACGTCAAAGTACAGCCAGTTGAAGATGTAAGCCTGGACCAGACCTAGTATGGCTTTGCCGAAAAAGGCATTGAGCCCGTCTCCCTGGTTCTGGAACAGGATGGCCACGACGCTGTAGCCAAAGACTGTTTTTTGTCGTCGTAGTGTGTCAGCAGAAAGAACGGCAGACAAGCTCGCTTAAAAAAAGAGGCCACTAACCCAAAGACACAAACGCATTCGTCCTCTCCACCTTGTGCTCAATGTTAATAGCCGGGTAAAACTCGAAATGCGGCGCCACCCTACGGCTCAGCACGCCGAGCCTCCCCCTCCCACTGGCTGCCGCCGCCGTGGACCAGCGATACAGCAGCATGACGAGCCCGCTGCCGAGCAGGTCCAGCACCAGGGCGACGAAGACGAGCCCCAGGCGGCGGCGCGGCATCTCGAGCGCCGTGGACGCGACCCACAGCGCGGCGGGCACGACGATGGCCACGGCCGACGCCAGCATGGTGGCGCGCACCAGCGGCACCAGCACGGCCGTCAGCACCAGGTACGCGGCCATGAACAGGCGGGCGGCCACGTAGAACCCGACCAGGTACGCAAACGTGTCGTGCCCCTCGTGGAAGGTCGAGATCATGTTTGTCGTCATGCCCACCAGACAGGCCATCAGGAACAAGATCTCGACGCGCTGCGCCACGTCGTCAATGTCGAACCAGCTCACAATCTGCGCCACGTCGGCCCAGATCTTCCAGCCCATGCAAAAGGTGACGACGAAGCGGAGCAGCTCAGCGCCGTCGGGGCTCTCGGACAGGTGCTCGCCGTTGACGTGCAGGATGCCGACGTAGACGAGGTCGAGGAAGAGCTCGAACGACATGACCTCGGTCAGGGCGCTGGCCCGCCACAGCAGCCCGCGGTGGAAGTACTGCTTGACCACGGGCCGCCGGAACAGCTTCATGGTGGCGCCGCCCGCCCGCCGGTCGCCCCAGTCGGCGGCGGCGGTGCCGCCGCTGAGGGTGCTGGCGGCCGAGCTGGCCGGTTCTTCGCCTTCTTTACCGCCCGACTCGTCGCCGTAGGTGCGGACGTGTGCGCCGTACTTGGTTCAACATATATGTCAGCCAGGGGAAGAAACGGCAAGGTTACAGGTGGAAAGAAAACTCCAAAAAAAAAAAAAAAAAAAAAAAAAACTCACCCCAAATTTGGAAAAGGTCGCGTTCAGCTTCCCGCCCCCGTGGTCCGCCAGCCGCTCCATCTGCGCCGCCACGTCGCGCAGCTGCGCCGACAGGCCCTCCCACTCGTCCAGCAGCTCGCCCGCGGCCCCGTCGTGCCGGCGCCGCAGCTCCTCCCTGCGCGCGTGCGCGTGCGACCGCGTCCGGTCCAGCAGCTCGCGGTGCTCGTCGGACCCGTGCACCACCACCACCTCGACCCTGCTGCTGTTGTTGTTGCTGTTGTCACTGTCGTCGTCCCGGGCGGCGGGGGTGGCGGTTGCTGTGGCGGTCTTGTCGTCGTCGGTGGTGGTGGTCTGCGTCGCCTCGTCCGTCTTGGTCTGCTGCTTGGGCCTAGCAGCAGCAGTAGCAGCAGCAGCCCCGCGCGCCCCGTACCACGACCGCAGCGCCGCCGCGTCCTCGGGCGACCCGACCAGCACGCGCCGGCCGTCGGGCAGCGTGAACTCGGACAGGGCGCGGCGGGCTGCCGGCGGGGTCGACGAGCCCTTGCGGGTGCGGGAATCCATGATTTTGTTTGTGGTGTTTTACCCCCTTTTTTTGTTGTTGTTGTTGCTGCCTGAGCCAAATGTGCAGTCCTCTACCTACCTATTTAAAGGTAAGAGACCTAGAACTGGAGCATCAGATTCCAAGGCAAAGGTGGTCATACCCTTCCCTTTTCTAGCTCCCCCTCGTCGCCCCTGTTAGTCCCGGATCTGCACCAAACAGGTGGCAATTGGCTAGCTTGGATGCCTAGCTCTGCATGTGCTCGGTTAAAGACACCCTTCTTTCAACCACCTGCTTAGCCAACGACAGATGCACGTCCGTTCTCAAGTCCTTATCCTCGCCCTCTCGATTCGACCCCCTTTCCCCATAGGATCCTGCACGGCGGCCCGAAATGGGCGAGGAGCTTCATGCACGGGGCTGAAGTAAGCACCCATGTTGTCGGCCTCCCCTTGCCAAGTCCAACAGCCCTGGGTCGTCATTTCAATCCAGACATGCCGAAGCGCTGTGGAACCAGGGTCCAAAGAGGGTCCAAAGCTTCGCCGGCTAGTCCCGGCGAGCTTCTCGGCGGCCTTCGCCGAGCAGCCTGCCAAGGCTAATAAACACATTTGGAACATGGAGAAGGTGAGGGGAAAAGTAGAAATGCCATGTGCTCATGCATCGCAATCTGAGAAGCACGTCCTGTCTAGTAAATACAACTGAGTGACAAATCGCAGGTCCTCCAGACCTTCGTTTCCAACAAAGTGTTTCCATTGCCGACCTCCAGCCTACCCACAGACAAGCGCCATTCTACCCCGCCCTCGACTGACCATCACAAGAGATGGCCCACGAACGCCAGGAACAATCCTCCAGACACGCCATTTACCTGACGGAAAAAAAATGAAGCATGCAAAATGCAACCCGGCCCATTGATAACAAAGTGAATCAGAAAAAAAAGCAGCAAATAACCGCGCCCCGATCCTTTTATATCCGTTAAACGGGGGTATCTATATCGGCAAATCATGCCCCTCGTCCTTGACGCCAAAGTGTAAGTGCAAGAGGAAGAAGCTCGCAGGGTGAAAGGAGAGGAATTGGGAAAGAGCAATGAGAGGAGTACAGGGTGAAAATAAAGGTTCCACACCAATATCAAAACACGGCCAACTCGGACCGTGGACAGACACCCGGCACTTGCAAATAGCGAGTACTGCTTGAGCCAAGGCACCTAGCCAGTGTCTGCGACGGCAAAAATGAGCAGAGAATAAAATCCAAAAAAAAAAAAAAGAAAAAGAAAAAAAAAGAAAAGAAAAGAAAAAACGACGGGGCATCAGACTCGATATCGCCGGCAGAGACTGGCAGCAGCTTTACCGGCCAGCCACCATGACAGAAAGGATGGAGCAGAAAAGTAGCACAACCCCACACCAGCTGGTGCTAGTTGTTGCGGTCCGTCGACTTCTGGGGCTTGTAGTCGTGCACCTCGAGGAACGTCAGATTTTCCTCGTCGTACTTGTAGGCGTGGAAGTCGTAGCCGTACGGCTTAGGCTCGATCGAGTACAGCATGCCGAGCGGCATGTCCAGATCCGCAATGTCATTGCGCGTCAGGTCCATAAAGTAGGCGATGAGCACCCGGCACACAGATCGGTGGCTGATGAGGAGTACGTGGTCCGTGATTCGCTCGATCTCGCGCACCATGTCGCGCAGTCGGCTGATGACACGCAGGTAGCCCTCGCCGCCCACTCCTGGGTAGATGTAGTTGAGCTTGTCGGCCGACCGCTTCTTGTACTCGTCTGGGTACTTGGCCGCGATCTCGTCGTACGTCATGCCCTCGAAGCTGCCCGTGTGCATCTCGTTGAGCATCTCCCAGTTCTTGACGTCATAGTCGTCGTCCTCCTCAAAGTACTCGGCCGTCTCGACGCTGCGCCTCAGCATCGACGTCCACACGCAAAAGTTCTTGGAATCCAGCTCCTGGAAGAGCTCGGGGTAGGGCGGCGTGTGATCGCCAGGCTGCGGCGGGAACGAAGACTGCGCAATCTTGTCCTTCTGCTGCACCAGCCACTCGGCCCGCTTCTGCGTGATAAACTGGTGCAGCGCCATGCCGTAGTAGTGCCCACGCTCCGTCAGGTTCGAGTCGCCACCCAGCTTCCCCAGCTTGTTGTCTTCGCTCTGGCCGTGGCGCGTGATCCAGATCTGGCGCGGTGCGAGGTTGAACGTCGTGAGGTACGATGCAATGCCGCCGCTCAAGAATCCTCGCAATCTATGCTGGACCATTTTCCTCCCCACGTCGATCATCTGCGCAAATCAGCATCTAGCAGGCTGGAGGCAAACAAACAAACATCACCAACTCACCTGAATGTACTGCATGTCGTGGGACTCCTCATAATTTCCCAGCGGCACATAGGCACTCTCGTACTGCATCACTCTGGCCTTGAAATCGGCCAGCGACTTGACCGGATCCTTGGCCTTGTAGTCGGGGCCCGACAGCTTCAGGCGCATGTTGGCCTCGAGAAGCTGGGAGACGAGAGTCAGGGTCAGTAACCTCTTGGTTGTGCAGCTAGCTGGTGCTTCTAGATAAACAGGGGCAAAATATTGCAGCCGACATACCGTCTCGTCATGGCAGATACTTTCGATGAACAGGATGCCGAGCTTGGGCTCCCGCTCCTTGATGCGCTGCACAATCTGCTCCCGGCGTCGGATTGTGCTGTTGGTCGCATCCAGGATCCCCACGCTGCCGTTCTGGCAGAGGAGATAGTCCAACACCTCGTCGAGCGTTTCCATGGCGACCTGCTCGCGGATCTTGGCGGCCGACTCGTTTTTGGGGTTGAAAAAGCTTGCCGACTGTTCAATCTCGTCATCCTGGGTCGCTGCGCCATTCTCTTGCCTTGGGGACCACGGTACGTTCAGGTCCAGCTCGGGGGGCTCGCCCAACTTCCCAGCGTCGATACTATTCACCTTGAGAAGGATAGAGGCGGCCTTGAAAGGGGTGGGTTCATGGTCGGCCTTGCGGTTCGAGTCGCCATTCTGCTGCTGCTGTGGAGACATGCCGGCGGCGACTCGCCTCCTGTTCCCCACGTTGAAGATGCGTGCATTGTGCTGCTGCCACGAAAGGTAGCGCTGTATCTTCTTGGTTATGTACGACTTGCCCCTCGCAGGGAGGCCGACCATGACGATGACCAGCTTCGCTGCAACATCGCGGCTTGGAATCCTGCCGTCGGGAGAGACGCGCGACCTGGTCATGCCAGGGATGTTGAGAGTGGTAGCATGGGGCCTGACCCGCGGGGTGTGGCTCCCCGAATTTTGCCTCACCGGAGGGCTGAGATCGCGGACATGGTCAGCGCTATGGCTCTTGCGATCCGAAGGCCAGAGAGACGGTGTAGCCATGAGCCGCGGCGACGGCTGGGAGAACAAATGGCAGTGGGAATCAGGGGCCGTATGTGTGTAGGTGGGAGTGTGGGTGGGCGCTTGCAGGTGTGATGCTTGCCCGCAGAGCCTAGCCAAGAGGGACGGGGGAAAAGGGGGGTGGGGGTTATCCAGAAATCAAAGGAGGGGGGGGACACCCACATTCTTGGGGAGCCCGGGGCTGTCGAGGATATGCTCCTTGCATAGGGGCTTGAGCTGTCATACAGCGGGGGTCCGGGCTTGTCGCGCAGGGCCACGTCGAAGTTGTTGTTCAGCAACTTGAGGACGTGCGCTATGACGGCGGGAGGACCAACAGGGGTTGGTTGCAGCGTTGCCGTCGATGTCGGCGCGACGCTGGTGTGATTCGTGGCGCCAGGGGCCAGCGTCTGCGAGATACGGGTGGGCGTCGGCTTCAGACGGTCGCCATTGGGCCGGCTGATGGTGCTGTCGCTGCTGCTGTCGGTGCTCCTGTGCGAGGATGAGGACGAGACGGCGGGTGGTGCAGCAGCCGGGGCGGACGTGGGTGGGGGAGGAAGCGTCGGGGTAGGCGAGGTCGTGAGGTGGTTGCTCATTGCCAGTTTGGCCAGGAGAGACTGCTGTGCCTGTCTGCGCCCACGGTCTGGAGGATCGGGTGGAAGCAGGTTAGAGAGTAGAACAGCGAGGGAGGACGCTCAGGAAACACACGTGCGCCGACGCAGGACTGAGACAGGTGGGTGACGGCTTGGACTAGCTGGAGGGTTGCAGGTAGTGGTAGGGCAGGCAGAGAGGTGGTGGTGGTGTAGGAACAAAGAGATATGGACGGGATCCGAACCTGGGGCGTGAAAGACAGCCGTGGCCGAAGGCATTGATTAAAACCGCAGCGGGAACACGGCCAAGACCTGACGTGGTGGACCTCAATGGTGCTACCGTCCCAGATTGAGTGGTGACACTTGAGGCGAGCGCTGTGCCAGTTGTGGTGCCAGTTTCTTGGTGCCAGTGAGCCAGTTCTTGGTGTCAGGCCCTGCAGTGCCCTGTGCCAGTGGCCGATTCAGCAGGAGACAGGCCCAATCGGCCAATTAAAGCAGCAGCGCCGATCAGGTGGGTCGCAGGGGGGGCGGCCGCTGCTCCGGGGTGTATGCAGAGGCCCTGGGCAGCGCAGGGGTGGCAGCGCAGGGAGCTGAAGAGGCAAGATGACGGACCTGCACCAGCCGACTGCCTTTTTCGTGTTTTGTTGGAAACCAACCTGGGATTGGGATTTTTGTTGGATTCCGTTCGATAAGCTGCGGTAGACTGTGCGGAACTCGTGGGCACACGCAATGACCGAGGAGGCAGTGTGTCGATGCTGTTCGGATCCTGGTGAGCCTGGAGATTGCGTCTTGTGATCGCTGGTCAAAACCGTTTGCTTTCTGGTGCCGTCGTTCGACGGGTCTGGCTGGGACTCGTATCTCTTGCTGGGCGCAGCGTGCGTCTGGCGTGCAAGTTGGTTGGTTGGTTGGTTGGTTGGTTGGTCAGTCGAGTGCGGACGGGCCAGCCAAACGGCGAGGCGACGATGACTCGAGCGCACACAACGGCCTTTTTTGCCCCGTCTTGTCGTTGCTTTTTCTTGCTGTTGTCTCGTTTTCGTTTGTCTCCCGAGTTCGAAGTTGGCAAAGCGAGAGGACACGACGATTCGTTCAAGTCCACGCGAGCCACGGGAGGCTGGCTCGCATCGCTTTTATCCCCCGCGCTGCTGGCTACTGAGGTCTGGACGTGCTTGGTTGGGTTCCTCCTGCAGCGGCTGCTGTCTCGTCACTGCCGCGCCCCCAATCTTTGTACGTGCGCGCACAACAATACTGCACACGGCTTAAGCTTCAATGCGGTTGAGGCGCACTCGCGAAAGCGTCTGAGCAAAAGAAAAAAAGGAGATTGGATGCGAAATAGGTGAGCAACGACACACGATGGAGGCGTGGGAGGGTACAAGCACTTCACGACAGATTTGATTTAGGGCTTATTCGTCGTGGATGATTTCACAAATCTTTTGACTCACGGTTCGGTGGCCACACCAACCCGAACACTGTGTACACTCCCGACGGCCTGGGACCAGGACAGGACAAGAACAGGACGAGACAGGACTGGAGCTGGGGCCAGCACCAGCGGCTGCGGAGCCTTGGATCGGCCATCACCAAGTTTTGGCTAGTGGTGCCTCCTTCCGGTGCTACCGAGTCAGACTGACCATCCACTACGACACCCGATGCCGGCTGCCTTTTTCTTCTTCGCTCTTCGCTTCTGCGCTTCTCCGCTTAGCCCACGCAGCTACTGCAGTGGTTCGCACACACTGTAAGGGGCGGCGGGCAGCTGCGGGGGTGGAATGGCCGGGGCTGTTGATTCGTTTGGTTCGTGGTGTAAATGATATTGGACATCAGAATCAAGGGCCAGTGAAGCCCCGGACGCCTTTTCGGGAAATAGGTTGGGTGGCTTGCAGGCCGGCCCACCTGTTCGGTTCCGAGTCCGATTTCCAGCGTTTTGTAATGGTGTGGTGTCGGTGGAGGGCGCCAGGCTGTAAGATTAGCCGGCCAGCGTCACAGTTGGGGTCGCCCGACTCCCGCCCGAATCCTCTCCCTTTTCGGCCTGCAAATTTGGCTCTGGCCAGGCCCTGGTCCCAATAGCTGGTCCCAATAGCACCCGTGCGCTCATGGGTAGCAATTGATCGAACCGATTCTGGGGGACGCATCACGGCACCGTCGTCTCGGCGTGGTGGATCCCTTGCTCGAATGATTTGGCCGAGGGTTTGCATTCTCACAAGCCTCGTTTTTTTTTGGAGATTTTTTTTTTTTGGACGCAAGCGCGAGAAACTGCCCGTGTCCTTTTCGATGTAGCCCTCAACGGAAATTTTGCCGCGGAAAGCTGAGCGGGATGAGGGCAGTGGGCTAATTGGAGCCAGTCTCCTCACCCGCGGGATGACCATGCATGCAAGGCAATGACGGAGCGGGCCCAGACTGTGTGACGTGGGATACCCAAGCGAGGCGACAAAACGAGAAGGTGCCGTGGGTGCCGTGGGTGCTTACCCCGCAGGCTTGGGTTGAAATGGAAATGGCTACCGCATCTCCGTGCTTCACTTTCGCTGCGCCGGCACCGGACTCTGACGTCGGCGCGCCATCGGCCAACTAGACAAGAAGGGGGCTTTTGCCAAGCCGATGCCAAACCGGACCCTGAACTAGGATCAGGTGGGCTTGAAGCGGTTGGGGGTTGGGGGTTGGGGGTTGGGGGTTGGGGTGCCTTGGTGAGGGGGATTTGGTGCTGCAGCCAACGACATCCCTGGGCCGCTGGCAGCAGGTCCGGAAATATTCGTCCAGGAGACACTTTGCGACTGTCGCCAGATGGCAAAATCCAATGCTGATATCACCCGCGAGTTCCGCTCCCCTCATCCACACCACACCTCATCAGCAACTGCATCATGCTCCGCCCTGGGAACGCATACACCCCCTCCAAACCCCCACGCTGTGCCCATGTTACACTGCATGGCCAGATGACTGGCAGCCTGTCCAAGCTACTAGTAACAGACACGGCTTGGCTCTGTGGCTGCTCCCAGGAGGTGCCCAGCTTGGTTCCCAAAAACCTGCAACCTGCATCGCTCGCTCGACTGACACCTGGCGGCTGTGTTACGTCTGCCGCCAAGAAGGCAGCGTTCGGACACGGCGGATACGCCACTCGAGCAAGCGCCGAACGAAGCAGCGGGCCGACGCCAGGCCTGCGTGTCGCTGCAGCGCCCCCAGACTCGCTTTGGCCGGTTCGCAATTGACGGAGTGACCTGACATGCGGATTGTTGGGCAGCAGCACGGCCTCAATCGTTCAAATTTCTCGGTGACTGGTCACCGGGTTGGACGGAGGTGACTGCCAGGTGACTGCCTCCCGATGAGTGACTGGGCTTGATTTGGGGCGAGGACCGATCAAGTGGCCTGACGGACGAGGACTGCCAGTCTGACAGCTTCTTGGGTTCACTGGCCCCGTCAGCTGGAATAAAAAGGAGTCGCGTCGATAGGTTTGAGCCGGGCTGGCACAGGCTCTAATTTCGGCCAACACCACCACGGCCATCGTCGCTCAGAGTTGCGTGTCTTGTGGGCAGACTCTGTCCTTGGCTTGTCACGAGCTGTTGCTCCACGTCCATTCACACAAGATGCGAGGCTTCCACCGCTCGGTCAATCGCCTCGTGCTGGTGGGAATTGAACACGACATGGTAACATATCCAGGCTGTCCGGCTTGAGGCAATATCAACCAGTCTATCCTGTCCGACTGACTCGGCCGACACACGTCACAGTGGATTCTCAAGGCGATCATCCATTTCATGGCTACATCAACAGCATCGAAAGTCAAGTGCCCAGAGGTGTTTCGATAGTCGCAAAATCGATAAAATCGTGGTTAATATTGTCCTTCTCTTTCCGACCACGACCCAGTTCACAACGACATTTGCGGTGCTCTGTAAACGTATAAAGGCGGTGACAATGGCCCAAGGTAAATGGTAAATGCCTGGCCGAGCCCACGCTGCGATCGATTGACATGGCCGGCTCCTGCACCACCGCCCGGGCTGGTTCCACATGCCCCAGGGGTCTTTTGTGGGGAAGCGCCAACGGCCAACGGCCAACGGCCAACAGGGTTACAGGGTCAGCTGGGGTTGAGGGGCAAGTGACGTTGGGCCTGCAAATCCAAATGAATTTCAGGTTCAGCATCAAGAATGAATCAAGAATGAACCCACAGCCTCAGTCACTCACCACTCACCACCCACCACTCATCAACCCATCGCCCAAGCCTGCCTTTCCCGACTGATTGCTCCTGCAGCACAGGCAAAACAGAACAGCTCGAGCTTGCCTTATGTCATCTCTTTGAATCCTGCCTGCCTAACTGCAACTGCACTTGCGACGAGAGGAGGGGTCGACAGCAAACATCGTACCCGCCTGTGTGCCATCACCCTTGCATTGCTTTTGCCTTTGCCACTCCTCTGCCGCCACGACTCTCACTATGCACGGAAAAGGTACTCGCAGAGACTAGCGGCCTTCAATACCATTCCAGCTATCCAGTATCCGGTCCCGCGATCCATAAGCCCTCGGCACGCTCACTCTCACTTCCCGTCTTCACTTCCTGGGTAGCTACCTAGGTATCTACCTTACTTATCTCAACTAGCACCGGCAGAATGCGGGCGCCTGACATCGCCGCCGTTATCGAAACCAAGGACCAGCTGGTAAAGGATCTGCTGCCAGACAAGATCGACCATGGTGTCTTGATCCCGCTCAAGACCACGCTCGAGCTGAGGGACGCTCACAGCTGCGGCCAGGCCCTCATCACCCGCGCCCCCACCAAGAGCGCGAGTGCCGTCATCGGGTACGCCCCCACGTAGACCCCCGCTCAGTCTCCCCCCCGAAGAATGAGCCAAGCTAACAGCAGCTCGCACGCCCCTGTCCCTAAATAGCACGCTTCAACACCTGCTTCCGGCCGAGGTTGTTAATGGCCTCCCCCATTTGCGACGCTGCGCGAAGCCGTGCGACCTGCCGTCTCACCTCAAGGCACATCTGATGAACGATAGCCCCCAGAGCCGCCAGATGCACACGGGGAAGGCCGCCTGGGTCTACATCATGCTCGGCATCGAGTCCTTGTTCGATATGGAGGAGCTCTTCGACTCCCTGTCCAAGATCGAAAACCTGGGCGGCGAGCCGTTTGTGGCCACCATCCCCGTCCCTCTGCTCCCGCCCACGTCGCAGGTGCAGGCGGCCCTCTGGTGCAGCCAGTTCTGGCCTACCGTCTACCGCAAGACGAATCCGCTGGGACCCCACCCTAGTCTGGTGGCTCGGTCCACGGACGACATCTCTGTGGACGCAGCCGTATGGATGGGCCTCGCCCACATGGTGGCCGCCAAGGCCCGCAAGGCTGGCCTTGGCCTACCCATCGGTGCTTGCATCATACAGCGCATGGACGACGGCCAGACGAAGCTTATTGCGCTCGCTGCCGATGCCCGCTTCAACCGCTGGGGAAACGCTCCGGCCGGCGTAGATGGAGACGGCTGCTGCTCGACGACGGGCAATCCTATAGGCCATGCCGTGCTGCGTGCCATCAGCATGGTGGCCAAGAAGCTGGTGCGTGCCGAGAGGCGTGGCACTCCTGTTGACGGTGACAGCGACGACGACGCGGAGACGCCAACGGTGAAACCACAGGCGGCGGCGGCGGCTGCCGCTGCTGCTGCTATGGCGGCATCTGAGACGCACCGCATCCCCGTCGAGTTCGACCCGTTCCAGGACGACCCCCTGCTCGAGGAGGAGCGGCTTGTGTTCGAAGCCGACCACCCGTCTCCTGAGGGATACCTTTGCCACGGACTCGAGCTCTATCTGACACACGAGCCGTGTGTTATGTGCGCCATGTCAATACTGCACTCGCGGATGGGAAAGGTGATTCTGGCCGAGCGGATGCCTCTTACTGGCGGGATCTGCTCCGAGGATCGCACTCTGGATCCTTCCAGATACCCGGACATGGCTAATTTCAGCGATGGCGGCCACGGCTTGGGCCTTTTCTGGCGCCGAGAGCTCAACTGGAGTCTTCTGGGCTGGGAGTGGGAGCCCTGCGACGGCCTCAGGCCCGAGCAGCTGCCCCCAACCACCCACGCCTAACAGGCGTCGACAGCAAACAACATGTGGCAAGTTCCATATGGACCGGCCTGGGGTTACGCCCATCCCTTTGGGCGACTCTCACTTCCAGGCCAGGAGCAACAATCCCTTCCCTCTTTTTTTTTTTTTTTGACTCGAACTGCTCCCTGAGCTAAGGCTGGGGCCTGACTGCGCTTTCATGTGGCGACCAGGTACTGAGGAGTGGGGACTGGGGCTGTAGGTTGGTGGTGCGTCTTTTAGAGTCTGCTCTACGTCACATCACCATTACCCATTTGCATTTCGGTTTGGAGGACACATTAACGAGGGTTTAGGTAGTCCTCTGTGAAGTTGGGTGTTTCATGGAGAGAAAGCAGGAGAATAAAGTGGGCAAAATGGGAAAAAGAAAAAAAAAAGGTGCATTATAAAGACTAATTGTAAAAAGAAGACGCGGAAGCAAGCAATCATAGCATGGCGTTGGGCGCAGGGAGAGAGGCGTCTTCTAGGGCTGGACTGGCAGGTAGAGTTAGTTAGATTCTTATCTCGACTGCTTAGAACTGGCATTTCGGCTTGGACTGCGTTGGATTTCTGTCCATGCGTTGGTGGCTGTTGTGTCGTATCTTATCGATGATTAGCTCGACTGGAGGGGAGGACTTTCCCAGAGCTGTTTGTCGTCTTGCAGGCTACGGAAACGATATGGCACCGGATTAACAAACCCCACTCGAAACAAAGAACCCCCTCATTCCCCCAGCCGACTTGCCCACGTTGGTGTGTGGGCGTGGGAGGGGGGCTTGGTAGGCTGCTTCGAGCTGGGTCTGAGGGAGGGTCGCAACCAGCCGGGAATGGAGGCTTTTCTTTGCCGCGCATTTTCGACCGCTTCGGACCGGGCCTCTTTGTGTCAATTCCTGGCTTGAGTGTGTGGTTCTTTGGGCGCCGCCTAACCTAAGAGCTGTTACTCCTAAGAGCTGTTACTGATTCCGTCAATCGAAACAGTCCGGTGGAATTTCCCCTCCGTTTTCTACTCTATTGTTGCGTGTTGGGCGTGGAGGGCAAGCACGGCAAGGCAAGCTGAGGAGGGGGAACAAAGCCAGCCGACCGCCCCCCCTGTCCCCGCTCACGCCCACTGCCCACGCCCACGTCCGTTTCCCACGAGGGCCCCCCCCTTTTTAACGAAAACCGAAAACAGATGCAGATCCCCTTTGACTTTGCCTGACAGCCATCCCAGCACGGATTGAAGGCCCTCATTCCTCGCGACCGCGGTTCCTGCCTTTGACGCTTCTCGGCGGTGGGCGCAGAATCGAGACCCGCCGCCGCACTTAAGAAGGGACGACCCTCCCTCGTCGAGCCTCGCGACAGGCAACAGGAGCCCGCCCAGTCCAATTTTTCGATCAGCTGCGAGAGCTTCGGCGAAAAAGAACGCAGAGCCCAGGCAGCAAACGGCACTCCAAACAGCGACTACAATACATCCACCACCCCGACTTGACTACCTACCCAGGTGCTCCGACAACGGGCTCGCTGAGTTTGTCGACGCTAAAGTGGGACGGACAGGGGGAAAAAAAAAGAGAAGGAAAACCCTCCCCGACGCGATCGCTCCCCCCAGCGCGACCACGCCGCCTCCCTCCGGCGGCCCTCTCTCTCCCCTTTGGCTACTACCTTGAGGTCGCCCGCCGCCTCCTGCGCACCAGCCCCAGCGCTAAGCACCCCCCCATCCGACGACTCGGCCGCCCCGACAGCGCCGCCACCACCGCTGGCCGCCTGCTACTCCCGCCCCTGCGCCGGGATCGCCTCAATCCTCCCCATTCGCCGCCGCCCGCCGCGCCCCGCGGGCGCCCAAGAGTCACCGGCCCGCTCGCCGCCGCCGTAGCTACGCTCTGCTGGACCTTTGGGCACGACGGCGACAGCCACCGCCGCAGCAACGTCAGTCGCCCCCGACGCCGCAGTCGCAGAAGCCGCTTCGTGGCGGTAGCAGGTGCCATGGCGGCACCCAAGATGACGGAAGCGCAGATCCGGAAGCGCAAGCTGGACAAGCGGGCACCGAAGTACTACGCCGTCCGCACTGGCTACCACCCCGGCGTCTACCTGACCTGGCCCGAGTGCGAGTTGCAGATTAATGGATACAAGGGCGCTCAGTGTGAGTGTTTTTTTTTCTTTTCTCTTCTTCCTTGCTTGCTACCTACTTCTTTTTGAACTATTTTGCTGTCAATTAAATCTAACACAATCCGCCCCCTTCACAGACAAGAGCTTCCTCACGCGACCCGAGGCCGAGGCCTTCGTGGCGGGTCTGAACCCGGGCGGCAACTCGGACCAGACGGAGAAGTACTACGCCGTCGCCGTCGGCAACAAGCCCGGCGTCTACACGGACTGGTCCGAGGCCCAGCGCGCGTACGCCGGCGTCAAGGGCCCCAAGTACCGCAAGTTCCTCTCTCGCGCAGCCGCCGAGGAGTACGTCCTGGCCTTTGGCGGGCCCGCGGGGAAGCGCGCGCTCGCGTCGCAAAAGGCGGCCGCGGGCAGGGGCAAGTCGGCGGTGGTGGCTGCCGCCGAGGAGAGCGAGGAGGAAGAGGACGGCGACGACGACGACGACGATGAGGACGAAGATGACGACGACGATGACGACCCGGCAGAGATGCTCCAGCCCGTAGCCAAGAAGCAAAAGACTCAAACAGCAGCAGCATCAGCAGCGTCCAACAAAAGGCCTGCCCCACCGCCGGCCGGCGGCCTGACCGAGATATACACGGACGGCAGCAGCATAGGCAACGGCAAGGCGAACGCCGCAGCGGGCGTGGGCGTCTTCTTCGGCGAGGGGGACCCGCGCAACATCTCGGAGCGGCTCGCGCGCGACTCGCCCCAGACCAACCAGCGCGCCGAGCTGACGGCGATCCTGCGCGCGCTCCAGTCGGTCGACGCGGCCGAGGGCGTGCGCATCCTGACCGACTCAAAGTACAGCATCAGCTGCGTCACCGAGTGGTACCGCAAGTGGGCCCAGACGGGCTGGGTCACGAGCGCCGCCGGCGCGCAGCCCGTCAAGAACGCGGACCTGGTGCGCGCCATCCGCGCCGTCATCGACGAGCGCGAGGCCTACGGCGCCACCACGCAGCTCGTCTGGGTCAAGGGCCACAACAACCACCCGGGCAACGTGGCCGCCGACGCGCTGGCGGTGCAGGGGGCGAGGCTGGGGAGGTATGCGCGGTGATCAGGCTGGCTTGGCTTGGCTGGCCTGCCTTTATCGGGACTGAGGGTTTCTGGTGCTCCAAAGGGGTAATGGGGCGGTGGTGGTGGTAGTATATATACACCTGACGTACTTTTTTTTGCTGTTGCTCCGCACCCGGCTTGCCATCCCGCAGGGAGTGAGCGCTGTTGGGGGTTCTGTCTTGCATGGAGGGGGGCTTTCTGCTTTTGCTTGCTGTGTTTCTCCGGTAATGATGAGCCAGCCGATGTCGACCGTCTTTTCGTCATCTCGGTTTTGTTTTTCTTCTTCTTGTCTAGGTAGGATATCCACGGCTTTTTTTTCGTTGTGAAGCGGTGTATCTTTTAATGCTATGAATGTCTATACCAAGCAAAAGTGTCGTCGGCTTTCGGATGTGTATAGTCCATGCCCCCACGAGGTATCAGTAGATGGAGGGCAATTCACATGGACGGGTTCCTCATGGTGGGATTTCAGACAACGGGAAACCGATCCGATACCAAGGTCGCTAGACTAGCCTAGAGACGGGCGCCTCATTATTTCGTTGTTTTGTGGTGTGTGGTTGCTGTACATATTCCAAAAAAAACCAAAAAAAAAAAAACCGGAAAGTCCTCCCCCACCAAAGCCGATGCGCAAAACTCCAAAAGTGCCTCCTCGTCCGCCATAAACGATCAAGAGAAAAAAAAAAAAAAAAAGGGAAAGGCTCCAGATATATAGACCGTAAAGTCGTGCCATGAATGGGCAGCGAATAGACAGACGTGTAACGGCGGCAAAACATCCGTCCAAGCCAGCACCAAGATGGCAAAAGGCAACAGCGATATACCTCCGCCCTCCCAAGAAGAAAAGGAAATAAACAGATGACCCCCTCCTTCTCCCTATGCCACCAACCCCATCCCACCCTAGAACCACGTCATGCTTTTTCATGTTCCCCTTTTGGATAGAAAGAATTTGTTTTTATTATAAAATGTCGCCGGCCGGAAGAGAAGGAGGGGCTTCACCCAAGCTCACGCGGGGGCAACACAAACACGCCCCCTAGCTCCTCTGCTCCTCAGGCGCCGGAAAGCTGAAGCCGGGAGGGAAGATGGGCATGCCGTTGCTGCCCGCCGTGAGGCCGAAGCCGAAATCGGGGACGCCCACGTTATTGGCGCCGCCCGACTGGTTCTTGCCGCCGCCGCCGCCGTCGCTGTTGTTGCTGTTGTTGCTGTTGTCGTCGCCCCCGCGCCGGTTGTGGTCCCTGCCACCGCCCCGACGCCGGCCCCCGCGGCCGTGACCGCCACCGCCGTTCTCACCATGGTTCTGCTGCTGTTGCTGCTGTTGCTGCTGTGGCTGCTGCTGCTGCTGCTGGCCGCCCTCGTCGTCCCGCGAGGACCTCGGGCCGTGGATGCCGCTCCTGTCCGTCTGCATGCGGCGGCTGATGGCCTTGCTCGACACGCCCGCGCCGATCTCGATGTCGGGCTCCTCCACCACCATGCCCGTCGTGATGGGCTTGCCACCAGTGCCGCCAAAGGGCGCCGTCAGCATCCACTTGCGGTCGGCCTCGGTGAGCCGGTGGATGGGGATGACGCTGATGCCGGCCGAGTAGTCGCTGCAGTCGCGCGGGCCGAAGCCGACGCCCCATCGCGTCTGTCGAACCTGATAGTCAGCGTTTAGTTCGTCTTTACCCAAGCAACAAGAAGAACAAGGAAAAAGGAACAAGAGTAAGAAACATACCCTCAGCTGATGGTCCGCGGTGCGCATCTCGGCCATGCCCTCCTTGGCCGCAACCGCGTCCTTGCGGGTGAGCATCTTGACGAACCCGTGCCGCTTGTCGCGGTTGACGATGCACGTCTGAACCTCTCCAAAGCGGCTGAAGATGGCACGCAGCTCGCTCTCGGGGCAGCTAGAAGAAATCGCCTCTAGTTAGTCACTTACAACCCTAGTTGCCTGAAATAAACTAAACAAAGTGAAAAAAAAAAACTCACGTGACACCTCCAATGAACAGTGTCCGACTAAGAACCCGGATGTGATTCTCTGGCAGCGACCGATCAAACTCGATGAACCTGTCGGGACGCCCCTCACGCCGCGGGCTGGACGTACGGCGACCCTGGCCGGCCGGAGACCGCTGGCGGTACTCGCCCCGGGAGCCCCTGCCGCGGTCGCGGTCTCCAAACTGCCGGTCGTCGCGGCCGCGGGGCGAGTGGCGGTTGTCCCAGTTCCGGCCCGGGGACCTCGACCGGGATCGCCCCCTGGCTCCACGGCCGGGTGACCTGTTGCCGCCAAAGTCGCGGTCATGTGACTCTCCGATACGGCCCGCGTTCCAGCCGCCGCTGTTTGCGTCCGCCGCGCTCCCGAAGCCATAGGGTCCGGGCCCCTGGGACGCGCCGTACTGCGGGGCGGCGGCCGCGGCGCCTGTAGAACCGCTGAACTGCTTCACGATGGCCGTGACCATATCGGGAGTGAAGCCCTGAGACAGCAGCGTTTGGATGAGCACTAGCTGCTGGGCTGAGTCTACCTGGGACGGAGCACCCGCCGCCGGAAACCCTCCTGCTTGGCTAGCGGGCGCAGGGACAGAGGCGGCAAAGGGTGCGGCGGCACCAGGAAATTGTGTCGGGAGTTGGAATGGCAGAGTGTGCGGTGCAACAACAGGTGGTTGGGTGGCAGCTACAGCTGGCGGCTGAGTGGCTGGAAAGAATGGCATGCTAGGCTGGGCAGGCTGGACCTGGGCCTGGGACCGCACCTGGGCCTGGGCCAACGCCGCAAGCAAGGCGGGTGGCAAAACGCTGCTACTGGCCGGGGGGGCAGAGGGTGCCACATACAGAGGTGCGGCGGCAGGGGCAGGCGCCGGCGCCGGCGCAGGTGCAGTGATACTAGGATTACTTGATGCGGCCGACGCGTTCTGCCGCGCAATGTTGGCCAGCGTCTCCATGATGTTCGTCATGGCTGGAAGCGCCGGCGGGGCTGCTGGCGCCGCCGACGAAGAGGACATCAGCGAGGCCATAAGATTTGGCGGCGGGCTACCCGGGGGTGTGGTTGACACTTCTGCAGACACGAGCGTTTTCAGTCGGTTAGATGGAACACCGCCGGCAGCCAAGAGGTTGTTGGTTGGTGGTGGATAAGCAAACATACTAGGCGCGTTCAGCCTCGCCTTCCAGCCCTCGAGCATTGTCGAGGGGAATGTTTGTCCCTTCTCCCAGATGTCGACTAGCTTTCGAATCTTCTCCTACAGTTGCCAAGAGGTTTATGTGAGTCTTGTGGTCCTAATTCGGCACTTTCGCAAAGCGCCCTGCAGCAGCAAACGGGGCAAAACGGTCAGAGCGGCTAGGCGCGAGCAGACTAGTAAAAGAGCACTGCCGGGCAGTGCGCGCCGTGCGCGTTTGCCCTCCCATGAATCGCCTGGCGTGCAGGCAACAGGAAAGAAAGACAGGGGACGGCAAGGGAGGTCACTCAGAGACTCCCCACGCGCCAGCCACGAGATCTGATTGTGAAGCAGAAGAGAACTTGTCCCACACGCACGATCTGGCTTGGGTTGAACATCTGCGCGCCTCGTCCACTTTCCCCTGCCGCGACTACTGGTTTCGACTGTTATATGCGAGTTGCGTACCTTTTGATCCTCTGGGGCAGATGCCAGTATGTCGTTCATGAACGAGGGCATCAACTCTGTCACTCTATGAACTCCGGCGGCATAGGTGCCGTCCTCTGCGGCGCTGCTGACCGTCTGGCCCAGCTGCTTCGCCTGCTCCATCCACTTGCGGGTTACAGAGTCTACGACGTAGAGCACACCGAGCTTATGGGTTCCATTTGTTCGCTTGAAATGCGTAAAGATCTTCTGGATGATGACTGATTCGGACTGCGAGGGTGGTTGGACGACATGGTGTCAGCAAGAAATGCGCGCGCATCTGGTTGGAACCAGCGGGAGGCTTTCAAACGGACTCGCCGCCAAGGCGGCGTGCGAACATACTTTGATATTGGAGACGCAGAGAGCCGTTATGTCCTTGATGCGCGACCCCGAAACCCCAGGCGGCTTGAGAGCCTGCATGGCCACAAGGCCAGCCTCCAACTCTGTCACTGGCATGGAGGACATCGTGTGTGCTTCTGTCGGAAGAGGCAGCGACTATGGCTGTACGCCTTGGGTTCTGGCAGACACCTGTTCTGCCTAGCCTGGCCTTGCGCTTATGCGGCAGGCTGGCCGGTCGGAAGATCGAGTACGTGCGCACCCAAGGGACGCAGAGGCTCTAGCGAGAAGAGCAGCGCGAGACAATTGTATTCAGAACGAGTGCGAATATGCGTCTCTTTTTACCTCACGGTTCTGCGCCAGCCGAATGGCCTCAACAGTCATCCAGCGAGGTGCCTTGTTCACGGTATTGAGCAGATCCAAGACTCTGCTTTACGCGTACGCGAGTATTACGAGGTCGTCGCTGGTTACTGATGATATCTCGGTGCAGGCAACAGAGGGACAAGCGAAGCGCCAGCTTCCGAGGTCGGATCTCCCTCGATACGAGTACGTGTCCACGAAGCAGTTTCGCGGCTGCCTAATGCTGGGCTGCAAAGCACGTCGTCTGGGTAGAAACCCAATCCGCCCAAGGAAGGAAGAAAGAATAAAGACGCGTTTTCCGGATCGCGCGCCTTTGGAGAGTCGACAGCCGAGTCGAAATATTACGGAGATGAACGGTGGTCGATGATGTCGATGATGGGTTGGTGTGAGGAATCGGAGCGATGGAAGGCGGGAGATTGAAAACTTGAGAAAACGAAAGGTCAAAGGCAGGGGTTTTGTAATGTGGGAGGAGCGCAGGTCCGTGAAACCAAAGAAGTCTGAGCGCCACATGGCCCCGCTCGTGGTCTTTTCTTCGAACGGTGGCGCTGAATGGCGCGGTGCATGATCCATGTGACCCGCTCTCGTTCATTGGCCGAGGCATTATTCCAAGACGTTTTCAACCACCCATTCAGTTCCCATTCGTTCACATCATCAAGCACCCGTTACCCCGATTGGATCAGCACTGCACATTATTCACTTATTTTTGCTCTTTGCCCTTGTGCGTTTACCATCCCTCCATTTTGTGCGCCACTGGTGACGCCATGGGGCTGCGATTAAAGCTATTCCGACTACCTCCGATTGAGAAATTCTAGACGGCTGAGAGCCCCGGGAATAAGGATTTCTCAGCTTCTACTCCAGGGCCTCCAGTTAAATGCATGAGACGGACGATAGCGCCTCACCAACATGCCAACCAGCCCACTCTGTGTGATTCTGCTGGGTAGTACGCATACCTAGCCGTGATAACGCTCAATCCAGATTATCAGATCTGGAGTCGCAAGTGCCAGACGCTTGGAGGTGGAATTCTGACGTCAGGAACGCGCGATAGCTAGCTGTTGAATATACTTATTTTCTCCTCACATCAACATCTTTTTTTCTTGCGTGGTCGAGGGTGCATGCAATGATGACCGTCCTGGGTCACGGCTTTAAGCGGGTGCACCTCCACCCTCAGACCCAGACAGTAAGTAAGCCCCGTTGCTCGATTTGCCGTGAAGCTGCACCGCGACGTAATATCTTGGCTGCGCTTCCACTCGCCCGAGGTCGCTTGTTGGGAGGGGAAACAAGCGCATTTTACATGTGTTTATATTCTCCCGGTCTCACCACCACGAGCTCGTGCTGGGCCAAACAAGTCTTTTCACTCGCCGTTTTCTGTGCGCGCCATCTGATACGTGTCCAGTGCATTCAATTGGCCCCAAAGATCCAGCCATTCGCACTCAATCCAGCCCTACGTTGGCCTTCTGCCGTCCAGCTCACAACGTTGAGCCCACACGTTGGGAGGCGGCCCGCTTGATCAACGTGGGTGGGCAAGTCCGTGCTTTCCCTGTCGCAACGACTTTTGTCGCTTCTGGTAGGTGCAACGTCCAAGTTTTTGCGCCATGCCGGACCCCCCGGTCGATCCGATTCGGCAACGAGCGGCGCCCGCACTGGGGACAGCGATGCTTTTTTTTTATGGCTGCGTTTTTTTGCAGCTTCCTGTCTTATCCTCCATTTCTTCCCGACAAACTTCCCTCGCTCACCACGAGACGATCAGTGTCCTCCCGTTCTTGTTTGTCCCGTTCTGCAATTCGAACTTGTCTTCTCACATTGGACTTCTCTAGCTTGAGGACATCCACCTTCCACAATGGCGTCTGCTGTGCGCTTCAGCTCCGCTGCCCTCAGGGCCTCGATTAGGGTCTCCTTCGCCCAGAGGACTGCTTTCACCGGCCTGCGATGCTACTCGGCCAAGACACAGGTAGGTGCACTCGTTCCGAGCTCTCCACGAAGAGATTGGCGTGCTAACCGCTTCTTCTGCCATGCGCCAGACCCTGAAGGAGCGCTTTGCCGAGCTGCTGCCTGAGAAGATCGAGCAGATCAAGGCTCTGCGCAAGTGAGTTTCTGCCCCCGACTTGGACAAAATGCCAACATTACCGGCCCCAGATCACTGACATCTTGTCCGTCTTGTCATAGGGAGCATGGTTCCAAGGTTGTCGACAAGGTCACCCTCGACCAGGTTTACGGTGGTGCCCGCGGTATCAAGGCCCTGGTCTGGGAGGGCTCGGTCCTTGACTCCGAGGAGGGTATCCGCTTCCGCGGCAAGACGATTCCCGAGTGCCAGGAGCTTCTTCCCAAGGCTCCCGGCGGCAAGGAGCCTCTTCCTGAGGGTAAGAGCATAGCGCATACCTCGCGCGCACCACGCTTCAACAGGACGGACCATTTTTATACATCTCTGGGATTCGACTAACTCGCTACCTCTTTTCAGGTCTCTTCTGGCTCCTGCTGACCGGCGAGGTTCCCAGCGAGGCTCAGGTCCGCGCCCTGTCCGCTGAGTGGGCCGCTCGGTCCGACATCCCCAAGTTCGTCGAGGAGCTGATCGACCGCTGCCCGACCGACCTTCACCCCATGGCCCAGTTCTCGCTGGCCGTCACTGCTCTGGAGCACACGTCGTCGTTCGCCAAGGCGTACGCCAAGGGCATCAACAAGAAGGAGTACTGGGGCTACACCTTTGAGGACTCGATGGACCTGATCGCCAAGCTGCCCACCATCGCTGCGCGCATCTACCAGAACATCTACGGCAGCGGCAAGGTCGCTCCCGTCCAGAAGGACAAGGACTACTCGTTCAACTTTGCCAACCAGCTCGGCTTCGGCAGCAACGAGGACTTCATCGAGCTGATGCGCCTGTACCTGACCATCCACACTGACCACGAGGGTGGTAACGTCAGCGCCCACACCACGCACCTGGTCGGCTCTGCCCTGAGCTCGCCTTTCCTGTCGCTCGCTGCCGGTCTAAACGGTCTGGCCGGCCCCCTGCACGGCCTGGCCAACCAGGAGGTTCTCAACTGGCTGACCGAGATGAAGAAGGTGGTTGGCAACGACCTGAGCGACGAGTCCATCACCAAGTACCTCTGGGACACCCTGAACTCGGGCCGTGTCGTTCCCGGCTACGGCCACGCCGTCCTCCGCAAGACGGACCCTCGCTACACGGCCCAGCGCGTCTTTGCCCAGGCCAAGATGCCCGAGGACCCCATGTTCAAGCTGGTCAGCCAGGTCTACAAGATCGCCCCCAAGGTCCTCACGGAGCACGGCAAGACCAAGAACCCCTACCCCAACGTCGATGCCCACTCTGGTGTCCTGCTGCAGTACTACGGCCTGACCCAGGCCAACTACTACACGGTCCTGTTCGGCGTGTCCCGCGCCATCGGTGTCCTTCCCCAGCTGATCATCGACCGCGCCGTCGGTGCCCCGATCGAGAGGCCCAAGTCCTTCTCGACCGAGAAGTGGATCGAGATCGCCAAGAAGGCCTAAGCGCCTTCTTGGTGAGGGTCTGGGAGACGGTGATTGTGTATTTTAGACATGCCAGCTTAATGGTTTTATCTTTCTGACGGAAAAGGTGGAATCGGGCGCTGGTGAGGCGAAAAAGGGATGAATGGATGCTATGAAAGCTGTAAAGGGTTGTGTGGATTTCTAGACCTTTCGCGCGATACCATTACGCCTTGTACAATATTCATCGATTTTTCTTTCTTTTTCTTTTTGCGTCCTTGTTTTCTTGAAACTGCTATACCAATGCGTTGAGAAGCCACTCCTCTTCATTTTTTATCCATCACTTCGGTTCCATGCCATGTTCTTCTTGACGCGAGGGTCTGTTGCTACGAAGCGGTCTTGTCCTGTTGCCCACATCGATGGGACCAGCGGAAACTAGTGGGTTATGGCCTTCCACTTGGCTCTTGACCGCCACACACGGGGTTGCGAGGGTCGGAGTCTGACTGTGCCCCCCACATTAATATTGGGCGCGGGCCGTGAAGGCCGGATAGGGAGGGGGCTTCAAGTTCCGACTCCCTCCGGCATGTCCGCCACGGACTGTGGCTTACCGTCACGTCCAGCCTCAGCCTCGTATTGGCTCCAGGGGCCTTGAGGAGGGCAGATAGGATGACAGCACATCGGGAAGTTGACGCTGTTTTACCCCAAGCCTTGTCCGGAACGCAAAGAGGCAAAGACGAAAATATGCGGTGGATTTGGTTGGATCGGGCTGGGCTGAAAATTTGCCAGATCCCCCCAATGGTTGGGATGACGGCAGCAATTGGGCGGCTCCTGTTGAGCCCAGCAAGCTGCCACCCCTGTGATTTGGCGGTGCTCGCGCAATTTGGTGGGTCTTGTCCGGACAGCACAGGCCCCGCTTACTGCAGCCGCTCGGGTTGCGCAAGCTGGCACTGAGCTCGATTGAACTGGCTGCCCCTTCCCATCATCTTCCGTCTCCAGTCTTCTGTCTCCAGCCAGAGTCCGAATACCCTCACAGACTCTTCCTCGCCATCCCCAGAGACGACACAGACTCGTTTCATTGACACACCATTGACCGTGGTAAGCTTCACTCCCCTTTCCTGCCTGAGCCCAGCCCGCACCAGCCCCCGAACCCCCACGCAGCAGACGGCGCATTATGCTAGAGCATTAGCCACCGACACAACGCTGCTGCATCCGCCCAGCCCTGCGGGCCCATTGCACGTGCAAATCGAGACGAGTCGTTGCCGCCCAAACAGTCGCGGCTCCATTTTTTGCTTGTCCCCGTCGGCATTACGAGGTGTTACGAGGTGTTGCGAGGCGCTAGAAGCCGCGGACTTGCTGAAGCTGACCCCTGTGGTTGCGCACCAGGCAGATCGGCCCATCAGATAATCTAGTTGCAAACCAATCGACTCGACTGCGACCTCGGCAGACGGTGAACCCCTCGATCCCAGCAGCTCTACTATATCTACATTGTATACCGCGCGAGTCAATACCCCGCCGGTTCTTGTCTAGCTTCGCGGCCGACAGCCCACGCAGCTACAAAACCAGCCAGCCTCGCCCTTCTCTCAGGTTTCGGAGAGAAACCCCCCTCTGCGAAGAAGCACCCTACTGCCTTGGTCAGGCCCCTCCCCCGCCGCACACAACCCGCCGAGCCATGTCTGCCGCCGCCCCCGTCCCCGGTGCCTCGGGCGCCCCTGGTGCCACCGTCCAGCAGCTGGAGAAGAAGCCCATCAAGTTCTCCAACCTGCTGCTCGGCGCCGGCCTCAACATGTTTGAGGTCACCACCCTGGGTCAGCCCCTCGAGGTCGCCAAAACCACGATGGCCGCCAACCGCGGCGACAGCATGGCTTCTGCCCTGGGCCGCATCTGGGCCCGTGGTGGTGTTCTTGGTTGTAAGTTGCCCTGTTGCTCGTCCGTTTTGACTAGTGGCCCCGAGACCGATGGCTTTCACTCGGCGCAAAACTGACACGTTTTTTGTGCGAACAAACAGTCTACCAGGGCCTGATCCCATGGGCCTGGATCGAGGCCTCCACCAAGGGCGCCGTGCTGCTCTTCGTTGCCTCGGAGGCCGAGTACTACGCCCGCGCCGCTGGCGCCTCTGAGTTCGTGGGTGGCATCTCGGGCGGTGTTGTCGGCGGCGTGGCGCAGGCCTACGCCACCATGGGCTTCTGCACCTGCATGAAGACGGTCGAGATCACCAAGCACAAGCTGGCCGCAACCGGCCAGGCTGCCCCCGGCACCTGGGCCACCTTCATGGACATCTACCGCCGTGAGGGAATCCGGGGCATCAACAAGGGTGTCAACGCCGTCGCTATCCGGCAAATGACCAACTGGGGCTCGCGCTTCGGTCTCTCGCGTCTGGCCGAGCAGGGCATCCGTCGCGTGACGGGCAAGGAGCACGGCGAGAAGCTCAGCGCCGGGGAGAAGATCCTGGCTTCTGGTCTTGGTGGTGGCCTCTCGGCTTGGAACCAGCCAATCGAGGTCATCCGAGTCGAGATGCAGAGCAAAAAGGAGGATCCCAACCGCCCCAAGAAGATGACTGTGGGCAACACGTTCAAGTATATCTACGACTCCAACGGCATCAAGGGCCTGTACCGCGGTGTGACCCCGCGCATCGGCCTTGGTGTCTGGCAGACGATCTGCATGGTGGCCATGGGTGACATGTGAGTTTCTGCTGATCATCTAGGATGCCCCCGGCGAGGTGGATGTGACGTGTTGCTGACCAAGTTTCTTACCATCTGTTCAGGGCCAAAACCTATGTCGAGGCGCTGACCGGCGACAAGGTCACCGCAAAGCATTAGACGTGACCTGTCTCTGCTTGCCGGCTCGACGACGATTTAGAGAGCCCCCTTACCGCCATCTCCGTTCGTATCGCACAAGAACTGTCAGCTTGTAGCTGAATGCTACGGGTTGTCCCTTTATACTTATAGACGCTTCATTGATTACACCATTTCAGTTTTATTGTGACACGCTGTGTTCTGTGTTTTATGCCTTGCAACAGGTTACCGCTGCGTTTGACTATGAATTGATGTCTTCTGTCACTGCTTGTTTATGTTCTGCATTCGGGAATCCAGGGGCATGGAGATGAGCGACGGCGTCTATAGAGATAGACAAGGCTATTTGCCATCGAAAGTACCGTTGTGTCTTGCTTCGTGGTCACGAATAAATACGGAGCGTAGATGATATAGACTGAGATCCCTACGATGATATTCGTGGTATACGTGATATAATAACAGCCCCTGTCCTCTTTGGGGTTGTGTTGCTCCCTCTGTAGGAACCTGGCGTAGTCTGCTCTTGGGATGAATGTGTTTGTTGGTCGACATGCGATAGTGTACGTGCATCGGTCAAGGAAGAGGCTGAATATAACAGGGCCGTCGGGTGGTGATCTAATCGCGGAGATATGCTGGTTGTGTCGGCATATTGTCGTGCTCTCCGTCTACCATACATGTCTCCACATCCAGGTCAAGACTATCACGGTTTATCACCCTTATATATATCCGGGCGTATGGGAGGGTGTTTGTGCATATGCGTTCCCTTGGCCATATTCTCAGTAAGTAGGTAGCTATCCATTTAGCAAAGCATGCTAAACAGCATCCAATACGTCGCGACGTCGTATTCATTGCGCTGCAAGAGAGCGGTGGTTAAGAAGAAGCCGCTTTATCGGATATAAATGTCATCCCGTGGGTACTTGATTTGACTTTTGCCTCTATCTTCAATATCCCCTCATCGCTCCTGTCTTTACTTTGCTCTGCACTCCAATGACGACCATCCACGCTTGGTGACGGGAGGTTTAGTGAAGCAAGATTGAAAGCGTCATGCATCGAAGCAAAAAAAGGTAAGGGGAACAAAAGGTTCATGCATGACCCATCCAGAATGTTTCAAGCGCCTCTAGTTTCCCTCTCCGGCTGTATCGGAACACATTCCCTGCTTCGGGTTGCAACCTCGGGGCGGCAGTTGGAAAAGGTGGCTGTGTAGAAACGTTTCTTTCATGCATCCGACGACTGCCATGATACGAGGCTGAGCGGGTGGGGGAGAGCTAAACACCAACAGCCCACCGAGAGTTATACGGGGAAGACGATTTAAGAAGGGTTTAGGTTGCCGCCCTCTAAAATACACGGTTGGATGGAAGTCAGTCCGATGCCGGACGGACGAAAACTGTCTCTCCGGCCCCTTTCTGTTTTCGGCGCCTTGAGGCCGTCTGGTCAACCCGACCACATTTGCTCCCAACCCCGTGACGTCCCGAGTCGGCCCGCGCCGTCGTCCATGTTCATGGGACCGACGGGCAGATGGGGCCAGTATCGTTTGCATCCAAGGTATCACGTTGTTTGGTGCCACAACCTTTGCCGGGCGGGAAGTTGTCCGATAGATAGGTATTCTGCTTGGCCCGAGTCATCCATCTGATCTGTCAGACGACGTGGGAGTCTGCCAAATATCACCATGATATCCTCCAATTTTCCAAAGCTGGTCGTTCTAGGAGGGGAAGCTTGAAACAGACACCATGAACAGAAGAGAACGTTGGCCGAAGCAAAGCACGGGCTGCCGGACGCCATGTCAACTTTGACTGCGGTACCAAGGATAAACTACCACACTACGTCGCAATGAGCAAAAAAAAAAGCCTTTTTGTTTCCTTTTGGGCCGCGGAAGGCTATCCTGCCCAGCCCGACAAGGCCGCAAAAAAGGTTTCACGGAGGACGCTGAGGTGCAGGAGAGGACGCGAAGCCAATATCAGGATTGAGAAAAGGGTCGTGCTGTGCTGGGACAAGCAGCCTGCGTTGCCTCTTACCCACCCCCCAACAGCCGCCCAGACCAGATCGCCCCGTCAGATGGACGAGGCAAGCGGGCGGACAAAACCACGCGCTCTGCCAAGACCCTGCATGTTTCCTTGGACGTTCGGCGGCACAATGCGCGCCAACTCCTCTGTGTCCGTGTTGCAGGCAATGCGCGCGCCCCGTGGTCCTGCCACCCGGTTGACTCGAGCTGGGCGGACAGACGGACGATGGTCTCTCCTGGTCCTGACAAAGGCCGCGTCCCCTGACTCTCCTGCTCCCGACGGTAGGGAGTCGGTGGTTCGTCCAGTCAAGAGGCTACCTCGATATTGCCATACAAGGTTAGGTAGCACATGGGGCAAGTTTGTTTCTTTTGCCAGCCGTTGCGGGATTCCATCGGACAGAGAAGTAACCACGGGACGGGAGTGCCACAAATTGTTTCAAAGGGCGGGTTTGAGAGCTGGCGGGCCAAGGGGTTGTTTCAGACGTCTACGTTTGGTTGCCTAGGATAAAGAGTAAGAAAAAAGGCAGGCAGGCAGGCAGCGTTCTGGGTTGGTGAGATATCATGTCCAAACACTTCTTCCCGCAGGCCAGATGGGTGGGGATCAAGGATTGTGACATCCAACCTGAAGCTTAGCGTGGCGTCTAAGCGGCACTGGGAGCCCCAGCCCCAGCCCCAGAAGGAAGGAAGAAAAAAAAGGGCCGAAGCAAGGAGGTCCCTTCCCAATAGAGCCGATGGAAGGAAAACAAGAGACGGTTGCCAGAGAGAGGGCGTAGCGGCCGATGTTTTAGTGTAGCGGGTAGAGATCTCTGTGGCACCTGGCAGCCGTCGTGCCGTTCTGGCCGCACCCATCTCGAGTCCCTGTCCCGGTGACGCAGCCCCTTGGATGGACGGCGTCTTTGCGGCCGGCACATGCTGGAAATGAGCGCGGGCACCTGGGGTGCGCAATTAGCTTGAGCTTTGGTTTTGCCAAATGATAACATTTCCATATCCAAATCAGTATCAAATATTGAATGCGCGTTTTGCATGCCATCCATCCATCCATCCACCCATCCGTCGATACCCACCGGCCAGCAGCTTGAGATTAGGCGACGATGACATCAGGGGTCCATCGCCCGCCAGCTCGCTTGCCGACAAGGGAAAAGGGGCCAAGGGACAAAAATACATAGAAGAGGGGAAAAAAAGTAAACAAACAGGCCCGAACGGGCGGCCGCGCATCAGACGGCATCGTTCACCATCTCATGTGTGTGCAGTTGATGCGGAGGGTCCTCGCTGGCTGCTGGAGCGGGTTCACTCCATCGATATGTGCCAGCACAACCGCCGCCGGCCCGCCAAACATTTCATTAACCACATCCTCCGAAATTTCATGCATAATGTTGTGGCGGATGAGGAGAGGGGGGAATACCCGCACCCGCGTCCTCCGTCCGTCGCCCCCGGGTCTGGTGGGCCGAAAAAGTCTCGGTGAGGGGATTTGGGGAAGGCAGCGTGGTTGGCTGGCCGCCAACTATAGATGTTGTTCTGAGGTATTCGTCCAGCTGCAAGCCAAACAACGCAACCTTACCCGTACGGGCTTACGCGCCCTGTGATTGGAAGGGAAAAGTGAAGGAGGATGGCCGACTCCACGAAAAATGCAGGGACCCCGCGGGCACAACGAGTCAAGAGTCGGGTGTCTTCTAGTGAGTGCGCGACTAAATCGATTGGCTCAAAGCATTTTGAAGGCCCCACCGTGGCCCAGAAAGCATGGATGGGCGGAAGGGGGGGCGACACACGAACTGGAGCTTCTGAGTGCAGCAGTAGGTGCCAGGGAAATCAACGATTCAGCCGGCCAGGCAGACCTTCCTTCACCGCCCGGCCGGCGCGTCCAGATCCGAGGAGACGCGCGAGGCGGGCGAGGCAGTCTTTTTTTTTGTCACTCCCCTAGTGGCCACGGCCGAGCTTGGACCACCCTCCCACACACTCAGACACAGACACACCACCACACAGCACGACGACAGGGCGGACGGCCAAGCCGTGGTCGCACAAGACGCAGAGCCGCCAAGGCCAACTGCCCGAGTCCCCCATCTGACGCTACCCCAAACGAGCGGTCTGTTTGTAGGACCTGTGTCTAGGACTCTGGGGTGGGAGCCGGCTTGGGTGAGCGATATCTCGCAAGCGATGGGCATGACAAGTACCTCGACCAAGGTACGCATCACGCGGGCAAACAAGAAACAAAAACCGCGCAGCCATAGTGAGACCTTTTTTTTTGTCTACGATACATGCTACGTAGCTCGCCGTCCGGCTCAACAGTCGCGAGACAGAAATGGCCATCTCGGAGGAAGTTGATGCTGCCCACCCACCCACCATCACACCTCCATACCTACCCCATATCGAAAGCCTGTGGGTTGCGCGGCGGCCCTGCGGCGGGCGCACCAACGCTTTGGTGGCGTTTGCGCCTCGGCGGCTACCTTGCCCGTCCTCTACGGCTAGTAATAGCCAAGTGACTGACGAGCCATCAAAAAAAAAAAAACCCCCCGAGCCTTGGCTTGTCCCCTGCTTGGCGATAAACGGGCTTTGGGTGGGTGCTGTGGACCAACCTAGGAGATAGGTAGCCTCAACCGCAAAAAGAAAGTATAGAGTAAATCTCCCTCGAGGATAAGAACGATAATAAGGGTAGCATTTCGACAAAGCGGTAATCTCTCTCTGACCCGGCCCTGCCATAATGGGCATATGGGAATGGGAGCAAGTTCCGCGTCACGCACGCACATGGGACGCCGCCTGGCGGCAGCAAGGGGGAGGGGACGAAGGGGGAGGGACCTGTTTGGAGCCTTTGTCCAAATGCGGTAGTTTATTTGGTTTCCCAGCCCGTTTAACGTTTATCCCTCGGCCCACACCCCCGGTTCGCCCACCGTTCCAGGGAGGCCCGGGCGCGGGAACGCTGTGCCGTTTTGCCCAGCTGAGGGGGAACTCGCACGAATGCCTGCCTCATCAGGGAAACTCGATAGAGAAATGGATGGAGCCTCGTTGTTTTCTTTATTTTCCCCGAGCTCATATCGACCCCACCACAACACAACAGCACACCAGGCATCCCGCGGGTTTTATGGGACCCCGCAGGGGCAGAGGAGCAGTAAAGAGGAACCCACCGGCAAATCGACCCCCCATCCAATTTTCCATTGGGGTCGCGCGGATCATTGGTCAATGGCTCAGAGGAAAGCCCGCTTCCCCTGTCTGGCGTGGGTGCGTGGTCCGGCCGATCTGCATGCCGCCCTTCTTTTGCCGGTCCCCCGACATGTCTCGCTCTATGCCAAGAAACGCCTTCCAGAGAAAAAAAAGGTGCGGGCCGACTGGGAGGAAAGGGGGTGGTGATTGCCCTAGAGGCGATGGGCTCGTTAATCGCATTCTGCAACATTCGGGTCCGCGCGCCATGATGCTTGCTTGCTTGCTCCAGTTGCTTGTTGCGTCTTGTTTCCCCCCCCCCTTTTTTTTTTTATTCCCTTCCCCCGCCTACGGAGACGGGACATGACGAAGGGGCGCGCGCGCCGCGATGGCTCCCCTCGCAGGGTTGCCAAGCACGCGGGCATGACACGGTGAACCATCGCCTTTTTGTAGGCAGGCATGTGCCGTGACCGATGAGCGAGATTTGATAGCACGGCACCTGCTAATAACTATCCAGTTCCTAACGTACCAGGGAGGGAGGGATGGAGGGCACGTAAAGACGTCACGAGCGGAACCTCACGTTCTCACTTCCACACCTCGGCACTTGGAAAATGATATGGGGTAAGAGAGGACGAAAAGCCTTGATGCGAACACCAAGAGCGCATCCCCACGGTCTTTGTCTTTTTGTCGGCCGTAGATCTAGGCTCTCGCCGATGGGAGAGGTCCCTTGGCTCTTGGCAGCGACGTGCGAGGCATTTTAGTGTTCCGGGGGTGGAGTCGCTTTTTTTACACCCTCACCGGCAGCTGCAGGAGGGAATATAGATGGCGAAAAGAATAAGACCAGCCCAGGAAAGGAAAGTCGGTGGACGAGCCATACAGCGTCGCACCGTGCAGGTCTTGGTATTGGGGCAGCAGCAGGAGCAGCCGCAGCCGCAGGAAGAGGAACAAAAAAAACAACCAATCCCCAAACATGTCGGCGCTATCGGTTTCCTGAACTGGTGTGAGGCGAAATTCTGGAATGATCCGGGGGAAGGCAGGGAATACGGGGTAAAGAAGGAACCTGTTCTAACCGATGGAGATGGTGGTGGTGGTGGTCATGCTCGGAACCGGGAGACGTTTTCCATGCATACAAACCCATGCACGCGACCACCCAACGAATGAGGTGAGATTTGTCTTGGATTGGCCACATACTTGCTGCCGTCTTTGTTGCCCTTCTCGTGTGAGGCATTTCCAGGATTGATCAATGTTTGTGGCAGCCCTGGGCTGGCTGGAAATAGGAACAGCAAGACTAGACCGCTGCCACCCTCTTTTTCTTCTCCCTTCTCTTCGGTGAGAGGATTGTCACTAGGATGTACGTGGAGCGTGATGCGTTCGCGCGGCATGGCCGCCTGTGTCCCGCGGGAACTAAGAGGCCTGGGCTTTCTGGGCGCGAAGCTTGGTGAGTGGCCGACAAGGCCGACCGGTGCAGCAGCCTATCGAAAAAGTGGGAGTGCTGGCTTTAGCTTGAGAATCGTTCCGGGTCTGCACTCCGGATATGCACCGGTTTTTACTGCTCCAGTCCCTGTTCTTCCCGACCCCACCACACACTGTGCTTCCAATTCCAGCCTCACTTCTAGCCCGGATCCAGAGCCTTGGTTGCCGGCGAGACCGACAGCTAAATAGTTCCCGAGAAGCCGACAAAGGGCTTGCCGTTAACCGATGATCTAACGGTGCTGTGGCAATTGCAACGGTCGCCTAGTGTCTGTCTGTCAGTATGTCAAAGCCGACAAATCTCCAGGGAAGGGATGCGTAATGATAAATCAAAAAGAACTACACGGTGGGCAGCCTGCAGAGGAGAAAAAAAAACAGGATGGAGCAAGCCGAGGGCCGGAAGAACCCACCCACCCATCAAGTACCGGCGCCGCCGGTCCATTCAAGTATCTCCGAAAGGGACGGTGCCAAAACCCTGCAAATCTACAATCACGACTGAACAAACGAAAAAGAGCGGCAGGCAACAGTATCCACGATAGGGGGGATCGGGCGTTTGAAAGGCGTTCTGATCGCCGCGGCAGGCTCGTGTCGTTCGTGTCTGTGTACTTCCTGTACTTTTTTTTTTTGTCCCGTCTCGGCTTTTGCCCTGGCTGATATCAAAAGAAGTAAAGGGTAAAAAAAAAAGCCTCGATGTTACCGGACCGACTTGGCATGCTGCCACAGGCGGGCGATCGGTAATGTCTGGGTTCTCTTGTTCACCCTCGACGTCATTGCGTTGGCAAGAACGGCGGTTTTCGGCGGCTTGGCGGTATTCTTCTTTTGCGCTCGCGCGCGCATAGAGAAGATAAAACAGAGAATGGATGCACGTCGTCGTCCCCTACTAGGCCAGTTTCTGTATCGTCGAGTTCCCCTGTTTCATGGGGCGCGCGGACGTGTCATTCGTGTGATATCTGGCTGGTTCCGTCTTCGGGCGAAAGCTCTGGGCGCTTCGATGCCGTCTCTTCTTTGGCATTGGCTGTAATCTGTTGTATTTCTTTCCATTCCGTATCGTTTTTCTTTGTCTTCACTCCAGCTTTATGTGGCAAGTTAAACCGATGTCGCTGATCATCCATCCTTTCCTCGCCGCTTCCAGCACTTTGATGCGACGACCGCAGTCCTTCCGACCGTTTTCGTCTTTCTGAAAGGCCGCCACAATCAAAGGATTCCTTGACAGAAACGTTCCAGCAACAATTGCCCCTGCACCCTGGTCGGCTCGTCCAAGTCAAAGCCCCAGCGCTTCAGAGAGGCAGACAAGGGATGACCCCCGTCCCCAAAACCCATGGCGGGCGTGTCCCAGGGTAGGACGAAGCTTGTTGCTTGCCGTTGCCGCTGTTTTGTTTGTTCTGCTAGCGGCGCGTTGCTAGCTGCTTTTCTCGCTGTCCGCCCATGGATGGCATGGGGGCCCTCCCTCCGTCCCCCCAACAGGCGACCCGACCAACGTAAACAAAAACTTGGCCATTGCCCACTACAAGACCACCATTTGGTGCGTGCGCTGCCTGCTCGATGGTGCCATGCAGCCGATGCGCCGGCGCTTGTCGCCTCCCGTCATCGCATCGCATCGAAGGGGTGACACGGCACACACACAGGGCCAGGTGAAGGAGGGCCACCCAGGCTTACAACCGGGTTCGAATCCCCCTCCACTTCCGCTCTTCTAGAGGCAGGTCACTTGCCTGTGCAGTGCCGCAGTGCAGCGAGAGAGAGCGCTCGCATTTCGATGTGCCATGCGAGCCAATCTTCAAACCTTGTCCGGCTCCTGAACGTCCTATCAATGCTCTGTATTATTATCGTCATTTTGGTATGGAACATGACAACGGCCTTGCACATTCCACGGCCACATTATGCACACAAATGAAATAAACCCGCCAATGAGCGAGCACACTGGTCCTGGAGGGTCCTGGCAGGGTCCGGAGACAAAGAATGAAGAAACACGGGCATTATCTCATCCCGCTGCTTTGCAAATGTCATCCGTCAGAACGGTCAACTCCTCGGATGGACACGGGATTTGCGCGTGGGATTCTCGCGTTTCGGGCTGACCGCCACAAACTCGCCTGGATCGCAACTGTATTGTGCAGCAGAGAGCTCAGAGCTGTCGTCATTCGGCTGCCAGGCGAAAGACCGGGGGGAGGGAGGGAGCGCGTGAATGTGACGGGGGTGGAGGAGCAGAGGCGAACCAGAGAAACGGAAGCGGAAAGGCGAGACGCGATTACGGTAGCGCCAGCCCAGGGAGGCTCCCAGGGTGCCGCAAAACAAAAATCCCTCACGACGAGGCTCGACTTTTGCGCTGTTACGGTGCGGCCGAGCTCTCTTCTCTCTCACCCACACACAACACACAAACGTAAACCCCTGGACGGCCGGTCCCAAACGGGAAGCGCGTGGGACCGGCGAGGAAGGGGGGTGGAGAAGGTGCAGCGGAGGGTGCATGCGTCCTGCGAGATTGGACGGCCTGCCGGAGGGGGGCGTGCGAGAGTAAAAGAAAAAAAAAAAGCAACCACAGCAGGCAATTCGAATTTTGGTAGAGTGGGGGAAAAGAAACGGGTACCTGGCGACTTTGCGAGATTATTGCAGCTCCCCGACTTCTCCAATTGCAGCCGGGGCGGCCTCGATTGGGCGGGCGCGATTGGCTGATATGGAGCTCTTGATCGGAGCTCGCAGGTACACAGGGACAAGCCCTGCAGGACGTCGCACTCCACTCCTTGGGTGGAGGAGAAAACGAAGTTGGCCCGTGGGCCACTGGGCCGGCCGCTGGAACCTGGAAGCTTGCTTTGCCTCCTGTGCTTCTGCCCGCCCCGGGCTGGGCTTTTGCTGGGTGCTGGGGGGCCAGTTCGACTTGCTCCTGTTGCCGAGAAAGGCTCCGCACCACATGGGTCCCAGGGCGCGGCAGGGTGCCCGTGGCTCTGTGTGGGTGTGGGTGTGGGTGGATTCCCCTTTGAATGACCGATACGGTACCGTCCGACCACTGTGTGTGTGTCTCTTGCCTGTCATGGAGATGCAGCGACGGCACGCTCTCGCTGCGTTGCGCTGTGAATAAAATCGGCGCCTTCCACCCTCTTCCGTTCCTGCCTTTTCCCTCTCTTTCTCACTCACACTACGGAAGGCATTCGTCCTAGAGGTTGCCGTCGTCCTCGGTCAATCATCGCGAGGTGAGTTTCAAGCAGAAGCATAACTCTGTTTACCACAACCACAACCACCGCCACTACCGACATCCTTTCCTCGTCGCCCATTCCCTGCGCTTTTTTTTTTTTTTTTTTTTTTTTGCACTGCTTCCCAAGAGAAAAAGCCTCCGGGCCGCCACTCGTCACTTTGCCTTCACCTACCTGTCACCCACGGACTTGGTCAAACCGCAAGGACGCCGAGAACATTGCGCTTCAGGATTCTCCCAAGCCAATGCCCGCCCTGCCGCAACCTTGGGTCTTTACCTCGGTCGTGGCGCCGGTTCTCATGCGCCACTGTCTGCTTTGCGCCAGCCCGTTGCCGCTCCCTATTTGCTTTCCCCCTCCTCCTATCTCCCGTACCCCAGCTGCTGCGAGGCATAAATGCTTGCACCGCTCGCACATTTCGTCACCATCTGCATAGACCACCCAACACACCCTCGGACCTCAACCCAACAGTCTGGCCCAAAACTGACACGGAGTTCCCTCCCTCTTGCTAGACTCCGTTCGTGTGCGCATCCTTTCCTAGAGGTCTACCCCCTAGAACCTGGTTGGATCGACAACAAAACGCGACGCAGCCCCCGCCGCCTGCCTTCGGGCCCCCGACTCCTAGAACACCTACAGAAACTGCTCTCTCTCTCTTAATTACCATTCAATAATTGGGCAGCGAGCAGTGCTCTCTGCATTACGCTACAGCCGCCATGGCTGATAATAATGCCACCACCGGCCCTGCGCTGAACACGCAGATAGAGTCGGGCAAGTTCGACGAGAAGAATCCCGCCATCACCAAGAAGCCCGTTGAGGAGGAGGAGGAAGATGAGGACATCGATGCCCTCATCGAGGACCTCGAATCCGTCGATGGTCACGAAGATGAGGAAGATGAGGAGGAGGGCGCCGCTCCGGGCGCCGGCCGTGTTGTCCCCGAGGTAAGAATCCACTCTGTCGTGCTGCCACTCCCAAATTTCTGCCTTCTATGATCGGGATGCCGAGGCGCAGGTGCCAGGGTCGCGATCGGCCTTGGTGTTGCGCCTTGGCTTAATCCGGGGGATGTGCAGTCTTGGGAGATTTTCCGAGAAGTGCGCTACAGACATGCTAACTTTTTGGTTTCTAGGACATGCTGCAAACCTCGACTCGCACGGGTCTGACGGAGCAGGAGGTGCAGGCGCGCCGCAAGAAGTACGGCCTTAACCGTAAGTTGAACCACGCTCTTGCTATGGGCCTTGGGCATGTCGTCCGGCAGCCTGGGCGACGAATCGAGACCACATGATGCTGACTCGCAGTGCAGAAATGAAGGAGGAGAAGGAGAACATGATCCTGAAGTTCTTCTCGTACTTCATCGGTCCCGTCCAGTTCGTCATGGAGGTTAGTGACCGACCCGGCCCTTTTTTCGCTTCCCTGGCGGCAGCGCGACTAGGAAAATCCTGCTTGGCTGGCGCTTGTGCCGGGTTGCCCTGGCAGCTCGAGCTCCTCGGCTATCCGGCATGGGTGTTGAGTCAGGAGAGACGCGGCGTAGAGATTGCGACAGCTGCTCTGTCGCGTGGGCCCACCCAACAGGATCCAGTTTCGCTGCTGCGTCAGGGAAAACGGTCCAAACAATGTTTCGCCGATCAGAAAAACTGACAATCATCCAATTTTACAGGCTGCCGTTCTTCTGGCTGCTGCGCTCCAGCACTGGTAAGCATCAGACCCTCCCGGCCCCACCTGCAATACCCGATCGAGTCCATTCGGCTCGCGAGGGTGCATCGCCATCGCATCATTGTTGCTAACACGCTCTGTCCAGGGTCGACTTCGCTGTCATTATCGCTCTTCTGCTGCTTAACGCCTGTGTTGGTTTCATCCAGGAGTTCCAGGCCGGTTCCATTGTCGACGAGCTCAAGAAGACTCTTGCTCTCAAGGCTGTTGTTCTCCGTGACGGTAACCTCAAGGAGGTTGAGGCTCCCGAGGTTGTTCCCGGCGATATCCTGCAGGTTGAGGAGGGTACCATCATTCCCGCCGACGGCCGCATCGTTACCGAGGATGCCTTCCTTCAGGTTGACCAGTCCGCCATCACGGGCGAGTCCCTCGCTGTCGACAAGCACAAGGGTGACCAGTGCTACGCCTCGTCCGCCGTCAAGCGTGGTGAGGCCTTTGTCGTCATCACCGCCACCGGAGACAACACCTTCGTCGGTCGCGCCGCCGCTCTCGTCAACGCCGCCTCCGCCGGGACTGGTCACTTCACCGAGGTCCTCAACGGCATCGGCACAGTGCTCCTGATCCTGGTCGTCTTCACCAACCTGGTTGTCTGGGTTTCCTCGTTCTACCGCTCCAACGGCATTGTCCAGATCCTCGAGTTCACCCTGGCCATCACCATCATCGGTGTGCCCGTCGGTCTCCCCGCTGTCGTCACCACCACCATGGCTGTCGGTGCCGCCTACCTCGCCAAGAAGAAGGCCATCGTCCAGAAGCTCAGCGCCATCGAGTCCCTTGCTGGTGTCGAGATTCTGTGCTCTGACAAGACCGGTACCCTCACCAAGAACAAGCTGTCACTGTCCGAGCCCTACACTGTCGCTGGTGTCGAGCCCGAAGACCTGATGCTCACTGCCTGCCTTGCTGCCTCGCGCAAGAAGAAGGGTATCGACGCCATCGACAAGGCTTTCCTCAAGGCTCTCAAGTACTACCCCCGCGCCAAGGCCGCCGTCTCCAAGTACAAGGTCATCGACTTCCACCCCTTTGACCCCGTCTCCAAGAAGGTTGTCGCCGTCGTCGAGTCCCCCCAGGGCGAGCGCATTACCTGCGTCAAGGGTGCCCCGCTTTTCGTTCTCAAGACCGTCGAGGAGGACCACCCCATCGAGGAGGAGGTTGACCAGGCCTACAAGAACAAGGTTGCCGAGTTCGCTACCCGTGGTTTCCGCTCTCTGGGTGTTGCCCGCAAGCGGGGTGAGGGTGCTTGGGAGATCCTCGGAATCATGCCCTGCTCTGACCCCCCGCGCCACGACACTGCCCGCACCATCAACGAGGCCAAGAACCTGGGTCTGTCCATCAAGATGCTTACTGGTGACGCCGTCGGTATCGCTCGTGAGACCTCGCGCCAGCTCGGTCTCGGCACCAACGTCTACAACGCTGAGCGCCTCGGTCTCGGTGGTGGTGGTGACATGCCCGGCTCTGAGGTTTACGATTTCGTTGAGGCTGCCGATGGTTTCGCCGAGGTCTTCCCCCAGCACAAGTACAACGTCGTCGAGATCCTGCAGCAGCGTGGCTACCTCGTTGCCATGACTGGTGACGGTGTCAACGACGCTCCCTCGCTGAAGAAGGCCGATACTGGTATCGCCGTCGAGGGTTCCTCCGACGCCGCTCGCTCCGCCGCCGACATCGTCTTCCTTGCTCCTGGTCTGGGTGCCATTATCGATGCCCTCAAGACTTCCCGCCAGATCTTCCACCGCATGTACGCCTACGTTGTCTACCGTATTGCGCTGTCCATCCACCTGGAGATCTACCTCGGCATCCTGATTGCCGCGCTCAACCAGTCCCTCAAGATCGAGCTTGTCGCTTTCATCGCCATCTTTGCTGACGTCGCCACTCTCGCCATCGCCTACGACAACGCTCCCTTCTCCAAGTCTCCCGTCAAGTGGAACCTGCCCAAGCTCTGGGGTATGTCTATCCTGCTCGGTGTCGTCCTGGCCATCGGTACCTTCATTGCCGTTACCACCATGTTCGTCCACGGTGAGGACGGTGGTATCGTCCAGAACAACGGTCAGCTCGATGCTGTCGTCTTCCTTGAGATCTCCCTCACCGAGAACTGGCTCATCTTCATCACCCGTGCCAACGGTCCCTTCTGGTCTTCGATCCCCTCGTGGCAGCTCTCGGGCGCCATCTTCATCGTCGACATTGTTGCTTCGCTCTTTGCTATCTTCGGCTGGTTCGTTGGAAACAAGCCCACCCACATTGTTGCTGTCGTCCGTATCTGGGTCTTCTCGTTCGGCGTCTTCTGCATCATGGGTGGTCTCTACTACCTCCTGCAGGACAGCGCCGGCTTCGACAACCTCATGCATGGCAAGTCCCCCAAGGGCAGCCAGAAGCAGAGGTCGCTCGAGGACTTTGGTAAGTTTTACAATGCTCACTTCATCTTGGCCATTTGCATGTTCCAGCTTGCTAACATTCACTCTCTTGTACAGTTGTCTCTCTCCAGCGCGTCTCGACCCAGCACGAGAAGTCGCAATAAGCGTTTCATTCAGGGTGGTTCGCAAATTTTTCATGGGCCAACTCTGCGGTTGTTTTTACAGGGATGATTGGAAAGGAACCATGTTACATACCCCAATGTTGTCCACGCTGGTTGTCTATGCGCCGTAGGTCGGTGCCTGTCTCTCCAGTATCTGTGAGGACGGCTATCCTTCCTTTGGATGACTGGCGTGACTCAACTGCGACTTATTTTCTTATGTCTTAAATTTGTCACGATGATCAGGGATGGTAGACGTTGAATCGACACACTCTGATCAGGTCATTAGAGACGACATTAATGCTAAAAAAGTAAAATTACGTGGTCTATACCATGCAAAAACCTGTTCCATCCATGGTTTGTGATTTTTTGTTGTGCTGCTTCTGCTTGGTGCCCGGTGTGTTTTTGCCAAGCTACTCGGGCACCACAACGTCCTTACTCGTGTCGAGCTCTTCATGCCTTCTCAGGTCCATCGGTTTCTCGAGAAGTGGAATGACGTATGGGTCAAACGTCTTCCAGTAGGGGTTTTCCAGGTGATATTTCTGGCTCTGTTTCTTTGATGAGCAGCTG